TCTCTTGAGTAGAGAGTACTGAAACCACGCACGAGCCAGGGCCAGCGCCCAGGGGGGGCGCGCCATTGGGGGTGCACATACGCGGACGAGGTCTTTTTCAAGCGGTATCGTCCCCAATCGCGGTAATCAAAATGCCCGCGGCGAAACCGACATACGACAGGCAGCAGGCTCAGACGACAACCGCCCCCCCGCCCCCCCCGGCCGATCCCCTCGCGTGGGCCTGGGGGTCGCTCTGCAAGCCGCACAGCTGCCGCGGCACCGCGCAGTGCCAGGGGACTAAGTACCCCCCCTCCCGCCCACACTTGTGCTCCCGCCACCACGCTCGTCGACGAGCGATTGGGCTCGCTAGCTACCTGCCCCACCCTCACCTCCCTCTCAGTTGGCTGACAATGCGACAATCAATACGGCTTGGGCTGGCCAGAGATGGAGACACGCAGGTCTTTGGACAGACCCTTGGACATGCGCGCGCCGCTCTTGGACATGAAGGTGGTGCGGCTCTTTTGCTCGGCGACCGAGGTCATGGGCCCGTCCTGGATGCGGATGATGCCCATCTTGACGAGGTCAATGATGATGAGCCAGGAGAGGTCGTAGGCCCAGATCTTGAGCATGTCGGCCGAATCAAGCTGCTCGACGATGAAGCCGCCCGAGAACTTGATGAAGGTGTTGACGATGCACTGTGAGACGACCGCCGACATGAAGAGCTGGATGGCGGGCACCGAGAGGAAGGAGAAGCCCGTCGTGCGCGCGTTGAAGATGAGGATCGCGGACGAGTTGGAGAGCTGCAGGAACATGCACGTCTCCTTGTACCGGAAGGTGCTCGGGTTGGAGAACTTCTCCGAGAGGAATTTCTCGCCCATAACGTAGAGCAGCACCGACGAGGTGGAGAGCACGGCGCCCATCGAGTAGGCAACCACGATGAGCATCATCACGGTGGGCTGCTCCGGGTGCGGCGACGGGAGCTGGTGGTCGTACGCGATGGTGACGATGGTCAGGTCGTGGAAGAGCGCGAGCAGGATGATGAAGAGCGCGTCGAACGCCTCGTTGAAGGCGAACGAGACCACGCACAGGAAGGCGACCACCTGCACCGTCACGCAGATGCGGTAGATGACGTACGACTTGAGCCGCTTGAAGATCTTGCGCGACTCGACGATGGCGGTGAAGATGGGCGAGAGGCCGGGCCGGGTGAGGATAATGTCGGCGGCCGACTGCGCCGCGTCGGTCGCGCCCTCGACGGCGATGCCGATCTGCGCCTTCGCGAGCGCGGGCGCGTCGTTCACGCCGTCGCCGGTCATGCCGACGACCTTGCCCATCCCCATCAGCACAGCGACCACCTCGTGCTTGTCGGTGGGCATCACCTGCGCGGTGGGCGCGTGGGGGGCTGTGCGAGGAGCGGCCGTGCGCGGTGGCGACAATTTGGGCGGCATTTGCCTGGGCGAATCCGTCCGCGTGGAGGATGAGGTCGTCGCGCGCCGCAGAGGCAGGCCACAGCGCGGTGTTGGGCTGGATGTTGACGCCGAGCTCGATCTGGCGTGCGAGCTCCTTGGCGATGTTGAGGTGGTCGCCGGTGATCATCTTGACGTCGACCTCGGCGTTCTTGATCTTTGCGATCGTGTCGGCCGTGTCCACGCGCGGCGGGTCCATGATGGGCAGCGTGCCGGCGTACTTCATGGGGCCGCCGTCAATGGCGACGGCGACGCCGATGGTCTTGTATCCGCTCTTGCCAAAGGTCAAGTCCGCATCCTCGACCGCCTTCTTCATGTTAACGAAGTCGTCGACCGTCCACTGCTGCCCGCCGTCGCCCTCGATAGCCTTGCCGCCGAGCACCTTGGAGACGATGCCCTTTGCGACGCGCATCTTGCGGGAGCCGCCGATCTGCGACACGTCGGCGACGGTGCGCTTGACGGTCGGGTTGAAGCCAAAGTACTTGTCGGTGGCCCACTTCTTCTTGAGCTTCTCCGCCGCCGCGTCGACATCGCTGCCGCAGCCAACCATCTTGGCGTAGGCCTGGAAGGTGGCGCGGTCGATGGCGTCGTCCTTGTTGGCCGGGTTGGACGCGAGCGCCGCCAGCTCCAGGACCTCCTTGCCGGCGAAGCCGTTGAAGCAAGCCGCGGTGTCGTGGTAGACAGTCATCTGCGCGGTGGTGAGGGTGCCGGTCTTGTCGGAGCAGAGGACCACCATGGAGGCGATCTCCTCGAGCGCGGTGAGATGGGTGACGATGCCGCCCTCCTTGGCCATCTCCTTGGCGCCGACGGCGAGGGTGACCTTCATCACCATGGGCAGCGCGATGGGGACCGAGGCGATGACGAGCGAGAGCGACATCTCGAGCACCTCCTCGAGCGGCACGCCGCGGATGCCAACCTGGTAGAAGAGGAGCGACCCCACGGCGATGAGCGTCAGCACGATCAGAACGCGACCGGCGAGGATGATCTTGCCCTCAAACACGCCAACGTGCTTGCCGCCCGACTCCTGGATGGCCTTGGCGGCCTCGCCGATCATCGTGTGGACGCCCGTCTCCGTCACAAAGCACTCCGCCTCGCCCGTCTTCAGCACGGACCCCGACCACAGCTTCTTGCCCGAGCCGGGCTCGCCGTCAGAGTCCTCGCGCGGCACCTGCACCGGCAGCGACTCACCGGTCAGCGCCGCCTGGTCGACCTGCAGCTCGTCGCCCTCGATCCACTTGCAGTCAGCCGGCACCACATTGCCGCCACGCAGGAAGACGACGTCTCCCGGCACGAGCTCGGCAATGTCCAGAGGCGTGAAGTTGCCGTCGCGCTTTGTGGGAAGCTTGCGGATCATGCCGTCCTTGAGAGCGGAGATGGAGGCCTGCGCGTTCATCTCCTCAATGAAGCCGAGCGTCGCATTGGTCAGAAGCAGCGCGAGGATGATCCAAAAGTCGACGTACGACTTGAGCAGGAAGGCGAGGAGGCCCGCGATCTCAATCTGCGTGGGGCGCGTCGAGTAGTCAGCGGAGGGGAGTTGAGGGGGAAGGGGCAGGCTTGTGGCCGTCGCTGCGGCGCACCATGGCAGGCATCGTGCCCACGAACTGCATCGCAAACATCCTCCACAGCGGCTCCTTCTCCTCTGGAATCTCATTGCGGCCCCACTTTATTGTCTGCGCTTGGGCCTCGGCCGTGGTGAGGCCCTTTGAGCTGGGGATGAGGTCGTTGGCGTACGCACCATCCTTGGTGTCCATGGCTGCGCAGCGATTCTGTGCGCAAGCACGGAGGTGGGTGTGAGCGCGTGGGGGCGCCGCGGGGCGGAGTCGAGCGTGCACACCGACGACGAAAGCCGACGATCAAAGGACGGCTAACCAAAAGTCGCAGAAAAGTATGTGAGAATCGGAGATTCGATGGCGGAAGGGGGAATTGAGAGAGGTGGCGGGACAGCGCGATGGGTGGGGCTAGCCGTCCGAACCACAGCGCGTCCCTCCTTTTCACACACACACACTACTCGCCCAGTGGTCCTGGTCTAGTTATTAGTCGCCCGTGTCACCACCCGGACAAACAAAACGTGTGAGTGTTAGAGTTGTTTGGTATTGCTAAAATCTCTCTCTCCCACCCGGTCTTGCGGATTCAGGTCTTCCATTCGCCAGACGTATCCTAGAATTCCCTAGAGCGAGCGGCGCGACGCGCCCCCTGAGCCCACGTGCCCACCCTGAGCTGGTGGGGCTCGCACGCTGGCTAGCACGTGTTTTGCTCGATGTGTTTTCTTTCCGCGACCATAGCCGCGCACGCGTTGTCGCACACGTCGAAACGCACGTCGAACCGTGGCCTTGGCTGGCGGCGAGCTCTGACGCGAGAACCACTGGCAGGAAGCCACTGGCCGGCGACCACGAGCAGCTTCTTCTACCGCTCGAGGTCACGCTGCGACGCTGCGCACCGGTGTGTCGCATCGGCGAAACCGGTGTTTCGCATGGCCTCTCCCGCCACAGGTAGTTCACGTCTTGGATGGTGCATTTTCCTTCTCTCCCTCGGCCTCCTCCTCCTGCTTAAAGTGGCCGGCTCTAAACGGCACCTCTTCGCGCGCCTCGGCGTGCTCGGCCTTGGTCTTGGCGGGCTTGCCTTCCACTTCACGGCCTCCGCAGCTGCAGCTCTCACAACGACCGTCCTCGTGTGGTCGCCGCTGCCCCTGCTGCTGTGGCGGCGGCGGAGACGGGCCGAACCTACGAAGCCGAGATCCCAGTTCTTCAAGGCGAATGAGGCGGTGTGCCAGCCATGTCAGTCGTAGCGGCGAGTAGAGAGTGCAGTCGCCGTCGACTTCACGTCATGCTCTGAGCGACCCATACAGCTCACAGTCAGAGCACCCGTGGTGGAAGATGGGAAGTCTGAAAGCACCTCGAGGTGTGCTGATGTAGTACCCGTTCCGGCGCGCCCCTCGCTTCTATTGCGAGCATCGTACCGGATGCTTCTGTGTGAAAACTGCCCCGACGGCGACGCAATGAGAGGGAACCAGTGCGCGCGCTAAGATGGTTGCAAGAGGTGGGACCCTCCGCCCGCGCTCAGCCGCCACACACGGCGCGGCGCGCGGCGCACACAAAAATCGAGAGGGCGGGCGGGCCTGCTCTCAGAACATGAGGCGGCCCTGCTCGTCCTTCATGCCCCTGTTCTTCTCGGCGTACGCCGCAATCTTCTTCTCGTCGTCGGACAGCTCGCGCCGCGACTTGGCCGCGATCTCCTCCTTCCGCTTCTGGAGCGTGCTGCTCGCCACCTTGGCGGCCTCCTCCTTGGAGAGCCCGGCGGCGCGCGCCTTGTCCTCAGCGTAAGAGGCCTGGATCGTCGCGCCCTTCTGCTTGAAGTACGACGAGAGCTCGCCCTGCGAGCCGGCCTGGACGGTGCCAGCCTTGAACGCGTACCCCTATCCAGAGCGACCGCAGAGAGGTGAGCCGCGTCGTCCGGATGGGAGGAGGAGCGCGCAGCCCAGGCGCCGTCTCCGCGCTGCCGACCAGCTCGGGCCGCGGCGCGTACTTGTACTCCTTCATCGCTTGCCTGGCCTCGCTCGCGGTCGCCTGACGGTTGGGGATGCCGCGCCGTCAGCGGAGGGCGGGGAGGAGGCTGGCCCTCGCGTGTCCTTTATTTGACGGCCTTTTGCAGTGCCTTTTCTGCTGCCTTCTCCTGCGATCGAGGACGGGGAGAGCTGTCGATGGCCGTGCGGCGCAAACCGCGGACCTGTGACGACTAGAGCTCGATGCAAGGGCGGCAGAGTTGATGGCCGTGCGGCGCAAGCGCGTGGGACTGTGACGGTTGCTAGAGCCTCACCTTGCTCCGAGCGGATGCCGGCAGCAACGGCGCGAGCGGCGCTATCCCGGCCGCGGCGAGCGTGAGAGCGCTGCGTCGAGACGGCTGAAGCAGTAGGCTCGATGTGGGCGAGAGGGACGCAAGCACGAGCAGGGCAGCGCAGCGCGGCATCGAGTCGACCGCCCTTCGGGCGACAGTCTGAGGTCGGCGAGCTTCTGCGCACACACTGGCATAAAAGAATTCCCCGTGCCCGCCACTATAAAACCGTCATAAAAAGAATTCAATCTACTCATAGCGGTGGTTGAGGCCGATTGCCTCAACTGTCAACCACGTGGTTGACAGAGGCCTCAACCCTCAACCAAGTGGTTGACAGACCCCTTCAACCCCTCAACCACGCGGACGGAATGGCTGTTCACACCCCCCGCGCAAAGGTCTGAACACACATTCTCTGTGACGATTCATGTCGTCTTCTTTAGACGCCTGGATGCTGCATTTGACGCGCCGTTTTTACGAGTACTTGCTTCAGCTACGACCTACATGCGTGAATGGGAGGTGTGATGCAAAGCCCGGAGGAGCGCTGACAGCCATCGAAGGCGCCCCCACGGGGCGGTCCCGGCCGAGTCATGGCCGTCCGCGGACGCGGCCCTCCGTCTCCGGAGACATTACCGAACTCAAAACTGCGTTTATCAAAAGGCAGATACGAGCTCAGCTCAGTGAGATCTAGCAGCACATACCCTCTCTCAGTATCCAGAATAGTAAAGTCTGAAAAAGTCGGTCCGACCGCGCAGAGCGGTCTGGCTGTCTGCAGAGCTTCCGTCCGAGCCCTGAGAAATGTCGGAGGCATGTCGGCCCGCCATGAGCCATGTTCGCGATTTTGATGGCGTTGCCCTTATTGCACGTGAAACAGACCGCGCCGGCCACGCACCCTTGTTCCCGGAGGCCAACTCGAACAGGTTTGAGCAATGCCAATGGCCGCCTTCCATGCTCGATATGCAGCAGGAGCTTAGTTGACCCTCCTCGAAGGCCGCCCTGCTCTCGGCATTGCGTTTCGTTGCTGACTGATAGCACCGTCTGATCCAACCAGAAAGATCCGTCGAAGAGCCGTCGAGCTATACATGAGACCCAAGCAAGTCGTCGTGATGTACCAGAAAACGAAACTAGCGCCAAAATTGAGATCTCAGGATCGACATTAATTTCTCGCGCCTACTTTTGCTGCTTGAGACTCGCCAAATAGATCCTGCGTCTATGACCGTGTGCAACGTCAAGTCGTGAACCGCGACAAGACCATCGCGCCAAGCGCGACTCTGTTGCTTTATGCGGCAGCATTCACCCGTGACTCTTGCCGTGGATGGTTAGTGACCGCGGTTGCTTACGCAATACTAGCCGTGAACTGAGCTTCACCAGCCATTTCTCTTCCTTCCCTTGCCTTCTCTTGCCGTCCGTTCTCTGTGCGCATTCCACTGCATGCGGCATCACACGCGTCTTCTGCCGGGCGCGCATCTGAACTCGTACCAGGTAGGCCATCGCTTTGCTGAAAGATCAGGCGCCTGAATGGCGACAGTGAGCGTCTCCTACTTATGGATTGCGCTCGAGGTACGAGGAGCGCAGGAGCGCGCCGCAGGCGAAGCGATTTTTTGGCGGCAGGGGCTGTTCCAGTTTATCTTGTGATCACGCGCGAGCCTGTGAATAGGCCCTGGAGGCCTCAACCCCCAACTAAAGGGTTGACGGGGGGTCTCAACCGTCAACCAGATGGTTGAGGGGGGGCCTCAACCCTCAACCCCTCAACCACCCCTATGGGCAGAATTCAATGTCAACCCCTGGCAGCGCCGCCACCTCTCAGATGCACATGCCCAGTTCGTCGGACGATGTTCCGGACAAGGTCGTGAAAGCGGTGGTGCGAGGCGAAGACGGAGCAGTGCAAGTGTGGCTCAACGGCGGAGGTTTGGTCGACGCTACAATCGACGTGAGCGGCAGGACTCTGCTGTTCGCCGCCGCCGCGCGTGGCCACGAAGAGGTGACCGCGCTGCTGCTGGCGCGTGGCGCGGCGGTCAACCAAGGTATTGTCGGCGGCTGCACGCCGCTGTACGCCGCATGCCAGGAGGGACACCTCATGTGCGCCCGGCTGCTCCTCGGGGCTGGTGCGGCGGTCAACCAGGCTGCGGACGGCGGCGTCACACCGCTGATCGTGGCATGCGAGAAGGGCCACGTCGACGTCCTCCGGCTGCTCCTCGAGGCTGACGCGGCGATCAACCAAGCCACGGAAGGCGGTGCCACACCGCTGTACGTCGCGTGCCAGGAGGGCCACCTCGGCATCGTCCGGCTGCTTATCAAGGCTGGCGCGGCGATCAAGCAAGCCACGGACGGCGGCTTCACGCCGCTGTACGTCTCGTGCCAGAACGGCTCCCTCGACAACGTCCGGCTGCTCCTCGAAGCGGGCGCGGCGGTCGACCAAGCTAAGGATGACGGCGGCACGCCCCTGTACATCGCGTGCCAGAAGGGCCACCTCGACTGCTCCTTGGGGCGGGCGCGGCGTGCAGCTGCTCCTTGGGGCCGGCGCGGCGGTCAAACAAGCCCTGAGCAACGGCGCCACGCCGCTGCACATCGCGTGCTTCAAGGGCCACCCCGCCGTCGTGCTCAGCCTGCTGCGGGCGGGCGCAGACAAGGCGGCGCGCACCTCGGACGGGCGTACGGCGCTGCAACTGGCCAAGGAGAACGGCCACGCCGAGTGCGTCAAGGTCTTGTCCGAGGAGGCGGCGCGGCGCGAGGCGACGGGCGCGGCGGCGGCGGCGGAGGGCCGAGCAGGGGTGGGCGGCGCTTCCTCGGGCGCGGCAGCGGCAGCAGCTGTGGACGCGCCGCTGCTTGGGAAGCGAGTCGTGCTCGGCGGGCTCTCTGCCCGCCCCGAGCTGAACGGGCGGCGAGGCGTGGCTCAGAGCTTCGAGGGCGGGCGGTACGCTGTGGCGCTCGAGGGCGGCGGCGAGAGCGTGCGGGTGCGACCGGGTTTTCTGTCGCCGGCTGCGGCGGCCGAGCAGGCGTCGGGCAGTGCCGCGGCAGTCTCCGATGAGGTCATCGCGGCAGCTCGGCGAGGCGAGGAGGAGGCGGTGCTGGCGTGGCTCGAGGGCGGCGGGCGGGTCAACGCGACATACGAGAGAGACGAGGTGAGCGGCCGCACGCTGCTGATGGCCGCCGCCAACAACGCCCACGAGCGGGTGGTCGAGTTGCTGCTGCGGCACGGCGCGGAGATCAACCTGCAGAGCAGCGACGGCGGCACCGCGCTGATGTACGCCGCCTGCCAAGGCCACGAGCGGGTGGTCGACCTGCTGCTGCGGCACGGCGCGGAGATCAACCTGCAGGACAGCGACGGCTGGACCGCGCTGACGTGCGCCGCCGACCTCGGCCACAAGCGGGTGATCGACTTGCTGCTGCAGCACGGCGCGGAGATCAACCTGCAGAGCGGCGGCGGCTGGACCGCGCTGAGGTACGCCGCCTTCAACGGCCACGAGCGGGTGGTTGACTTGCTGCTGCGGCACGGCGCGGAGGTCAACCTGCAGGACGGCAGGGGCCGCACCGCGCTGATGGACGCCGCCTACCAGAACCACCCCGCCGTCGTGCTCCGCTTGCTGCGGGCGGGCGCAGACACGGCGGCGCGCAGTGCAGGCAAGACGGCGCTGCAGCTGGCCAAGAAGAAGGGCCACACCGAGTGCGTGTGCGCCCTCGAGGCGGCGGCGGAGGCGACGCGGCGTGCTGAGGCGCTGGCGACAGAGGCGGCCAGGCGGGCGGCGGAGGAGGAGAGGCGGGCGGCGGTCGAGGAGCGGCGGGCGGCGGTCGAGGAGCGGCGGGCGGCGGTCGAGGAGCGGCGGGCGGCGGTCGCTGCCGCCCTCGAGGAGAAGCGGCGCGCCATTGCCGCCGAGACCGCGGCGAAGCTTGCCGCCGACCGCGCTGCGGCGGAGGCGGCGCAGCGAGCGAGGACGGCGGAGCGCTCGTCTGCCGAGGCTGCGGAGCGAGACGCGCAGCGGGCAGCGCTCGCGGCTCGCAAGGCAGACGAGGCGGCGGCGACGCGGCAGAGGGAGGAGGCTGCGGAGAGGCGGGCGAGAGAGGCAGAGGCGAAGCGGCGCGCACGGCTGGAGGAGCAGAAGGAGGCCAAGAAGGTGGCCAAGGAGAAGAAGAAGGCGCAGCGCAACACGCCGTCCGCTTTTGCGCTGCAGGAAGAGCGCGAGAAGCGCGCCGCGGCCGAAGAACGCGAGCGCAAAGAGAAGGCCGAGGCGCTCGCGGCCGAGCTTGCGGCCGAGCGCGAGGCAAAGACCGCAGCCGAGGAGGAGGCGAGGCGCGAGCAGCTGGAGCGCGAGGCGGCCGGTCGAGCAGCGGCGGAGGCGGCGGCAGCGGAGGCGGAGGCGGCGGCGAGAGAGGCGAAGAGAGCGGAGCTTGAGGCGAAGGTGGAGAGGGCAGTGGCCGAGAGGGCGGCGGCCGAGAGGGTGGAGGCCGAGAGGGCAGTCGAGGAGGTTGCGGCGGCGCGGGAGGCAGATGCGGCGCGGTACGCCGAGGAGATGCTGGCGGAGGAGGTGGCGGAGAGCAAGAAAGGCAAGAAGAAGGGCAAGAAGAAGGGCGGCGGGGGCGGCGCTGGGCCGTCACAGGGGCTGCCGGAGGCGCCGGTGGACACGGCAGTGGCGGCGCTGGCGGCGGCGCTCGAGGAGAGCGCGAGGCTGGAGGCGACGCGGCGCGAGGTGGAGGAGCGGGCTCCTGAGCCCGAGGTCGGCGAGGCGTACGCGGCGTCCGAGGCCGCGCCTCCCCCAAGCGAGCCGCCGCCGCCCGCCACCGTCTCGCTCGCCGACGCAAGCTTCGAAACGGGCCGCCCGGCCGTGCCCGAGTCGACCCTCGGAGGCGAGACGACTTGTATCATCTGCTTCTCCAACGCAAAGTCGCATGTCGCGGGGCCTTGCGGGCATTTGTGCGCTTGCGGCCCCTGCTCTGCCAAGATGGAGTCGTGCCCCATCTGCCGCGCACCGGTGCTGATGTGGATGCAGCTGCGCGTGGCCTGAGGCGATCTGAAGTCCACCTCAGCGCTCCGGAGGCGCGGAGGTCCGGGTTGAGGCGAGAGTGCCTGAATCATCTTGCCTCATGGAAGGCTGTCGTACCGCAGAGACTGTCGTACAGTAGTATGTCGGATCCGAAAGAAGGGAGAAGGGAATGCCGGGAGGGGTAGAGGATGTGTGTATGTATCTCTGAGAAGGTGAAGTCTGCAGTCCGGCTCGGCCGCGTGTATCGGTCGGGACCCGCTAGACACGTAGTCGTAGAGACAGGCGCGATGAACGGGCTGGGCTCTGCCCCCCCCCGACGGCTGGGCTCTGCCACAACATCGTACGGCACAACTACGCTACACTCCCCCCGGTCGCTCCCCCCCACGCCCAGCGCCCGGGGCACGTCATCGAACGTCACGCGTGAGGGTATACAGGGTTCGAGCACTTGGAGGTAGGTAGGAAGGTGAAGAGAACAGTCAGGCTCGGACTGGACACCAACGCGGTACGGGGTGTGGACCCTGAGTTGGACAGGGGTTGTGCGCTGGGCCCTCCTGCTCGGCTCCAGCCAGTAGACAAGTCTTGTCATCAACAGAGTAGATGGATCTGACCTCGGGGCCGATGTGACCAAGCGCTGGTAGCGTGGTTTAACCTCACAACCACGGTCTCACAGTGTGCCGGCAGTCGTCGAGCAGTGTCGCTCACACAAGCCGCAGCACAAGTGACTGAGGGCCAGTGAGGGCGAGCCCATCGCTGTCACAGCTGTGGCAGCCGCACAGTAGGTTGTGCCAACTGTGCAGAGCGTGTGAGCAGCAGAGGAGCTTCACTCCAGGCTTCAGGCGCAAAGAGCTGCATGCCACCGAAGGCGCTGTCGAGGTTCGCCGAGCGCGGCGAAATCGAGGGACACCGTCACCGACGAGCGCGTTGGACTTTTCACTCCGGACAAAGACGGCGACACGCACACGAGCCGCGGCCGTGTCGCCGTCATAGCGGCGAGGCGCGGGACCGTCTGTGGCGAAGTGGGTCGCGTCCCCCGATTTTGCTCAACTCACGGGCCACACCCTTTATGGGTGGACGCCAGACAGATGACGACGACACGCTCGAGCGACACAGACACAAACAAGCTCGCTCACCAGACATACAGCCAGCTGGGCTGCCACACACCCTGAGTGGGCGTACACATCACTCACTCAGTCAGGGCCACGTCCCCCCTGTCGCCTCCCCCAGCACCCGCGGTGCCAACAGCACACAAACAGAGAGAGGCGACAGCGGTACTTGGAGAGCAAGAAGCCGACAGGGGGGATTTCTCTTGGCGTTAGTGCCAGTGCGCGCCAGTCCCGTGCCCAGTGTGGGTGAACCTTCTTTTCTACCAGGCTAGGATTGAGAGCAGCCTCGCTCTCAATCCTAGAGAAGTCGAAGGATTGTGAGCAGCACTCCTCGCAATCGTAGCATCTCTGTGCGATTGTGAGCACCCACGCTCGCAATCCTACATCTTCTAGGACTAAGAGCAGCTCCGCTCCCAAGGCGACTGGTGACGCCTACGACTACTTCTACCAGCGCGCTCACAATCCGAGCAAACTCTAGGGTTGCGAGCAGCTTGGCTCACAATCCTAGCAACATGCCTCCGATTGCGAGCAGGAGCGCTCGCAATCCTACGTCTTGTAGGACTATGAGCGGCTGCGCTCACACTCGTACCAAAGATCCAAGGACTGCTAGTTGGCTAGCAGGCGCACAGAGGGCGCTCCCAATCGCTCCAGCCGCGAGCGCTTGTGAGTGAGCGCGCCGGGAGGGTCTCATCACAATCCAAACAGTGATCGCACCGATTGCGAGGGGACCCGCTCGCAAATCCTAGAAGTCGTAGGACTGTGGGCGGTGTCGCTCGCAATCGGCGAAAGTTCTAGGATTGCGAGCGCTCCTGCTCGCAATCGGAGGCATGTTGCTAGGATTGTGAGCCAAGCTGCTCGCAACCCTAGAGTTTGCTCGGATTGTGAGCGCGCTGGTAGTAGTCGTAAGCGTCACCAGTCACCTTGTGAGCGGAGCTGCTCTTAGTCCTAGAAGATGTAGGATTGCGAGCGTGGGTGCTCACAATCGCACAGAGATGCTACGATTGCGAGGAGTGCTGCTCACAATCCTTCGACTTCTAGGATTGAGAGCGAGGCTGCTCTCAAAGTCTCAATCCTAGCCTGGTAGAAAAGCACTTGGAGCACTTGGAGTGCAGTCATTAGCCTCACATCCAGGGCCGGGGAGCTAAGAAGCGCACCCCCAGCGGGCCGGATGATCGGCATCGGGTTACGGGCTAGAGAGCCCTAGCCCTGGGGGGGTGCGCGTTCGCAGGGAAAGGGCCGTAAAGTAAACACAGGTCTCCGAGGGTTGGACCCGCGTACCGGGTTTCCCCTTAACTGCAGGACGCCCCCTCTACTCGGAGCTAGGGGACATTACACTGTACACCACGCCCAAACACAGACACTTGCTTAGTCCTCGGTCCCGTAGCTCCACCTTCCGTCCTCCCGGGGCTCCGGTTCTCCTCGATTCGCTCTCTTGCTCGCTTGCCGAGCGTCATACGACGGCTGGGGGGGTCGTTTCCCTCGTTGTTCATGGTGTCGCTTTCTCCGCTGCCGCCTTTCGTCTTCGCCAGCTCCTCCCGGCTCCACCGGTTCCGAGAGTGTCGACGGCCCGGCCGAGGTTTCCCCGGGCGAGGACGGCGGCATTGGACCGTGTCGCCTCCCCTCCCCGGGAGGTCGGGCCCGCTCTCCCTGGTCGACGAGTCGCGCCCGCACCCGCGGCCTCTCTATCGTTCTCGGCTCGCCCCTCCCCCCCGCTGGCCCCTCGTCGAGCTCGGAGGGCCGTGGCTCCCCTTGTCGTAAATCACGGTGGTCCAGCTGCCGCCGCGACGGGTCTACCCCTGGCGGGCTCGTATGTCCCGACCCCACTCGCAGAGGCCGAGATAGCTCAACTCTCACCCCCTCCGACAGTTGACTCCAGGTCTCACCCGGGGCCCTCCGGTCTCGACCTCCCGATTCGTCTGCTGGCCCACTGTCTCCCCACAGCACCTCCCCCCCCTCGGTCCCCTCCCTCGGGTACTCCAGCCTCCGGCGGGGCGGCTGCGGATTCCCCAGGTTCCGAGCGGGTCCGTACGGTGACGGCCACGCCGGCAGCGGGGGCGCAGGCGGCGGTGGGGGGGGCGGGTACGGTGGCGGCACTGGCGGCCACAACGAACGCCTGGTGTGGAGCCTCAGTGGCAGCCCCATGACCCTGCGGCCACTCCAGCAGAGGAGGCGGAGGCGGTGGCAGGGGTGGCGGGTACGGTGGCGGCATTGGCAGCCGCAACGCCTGGTGTGGAGCCTCGGGGGCGGCCCCTCGACTTTGTGGCCGTTCTAGGCGGAGGCCGCACTGATTTCTCTTGGCGGCGCTGCTTGGCCCCTCGCACAGTCCTGCAGCGCGCTGCTGGCCTCACACTGCCTCGCTGAAAAGACCTGATGAAGGACGTGGACATCGAGGCCGCTCTTGCCGCAAACCGGCGAAAGATCCTCTCAGTTCGACGCGCGGAGGGCCACGACCAGCCGGAGCTCTCCTCCGAACGGCTGCGCAAGATGGCGACGCGGTCCAAGCGGGCGCGAGGCCGGCGGCAGCGGTCGGACGCAGAGGCCGTGCGCTGGGCACGCAAGCTGCAGCGGCTGATGCAGGGGCTGATCGGGCTGCAGGTCGCCTCGCTCCTGCTCGCCACCGCCGCCGCCGGAGCGCCGGTGCTGCTCCTCTTCTGCGGCATCGACGGATTTGGGATGGCGGCGACGCTGCCGGACGTGCAGCGCCACCACGCGCTGTGCACGGTCTTCAACCTGTGCTACCTCCTCGGCTCCGTCGGCGCTCCGGTCGCCCTCTCCGCCGCACGCAGCGACGAGGACGCTCACGACACTCCCGCCGCTGGCCGGCCTGTGAACGGCGTCTCTTCACGGCTGGAGGTGTCAACAGGACGACGAGCTCCCGCCGCTTCTCGGCCCGTTCCTGTTTGTGCTCTCGTCGCTGGTCAACCTCTCGAGCCTCGCGGCGGGGGCGGCGGCGGCCTACGTGCTGCGCCGCCCGCTGATGCTCTACCGGTACGGCTCGGTGGCACTCGACGAGGAGGCGGGGCCCGACCTGTGTGGCGGGCACCACTGCTCCGCTCGAGCGACAGGTCCGCGACGTGTCCGGGACATGTCCCGCAGGCGGCCGACCTGCGGCTGGTCCGAGGCCTCTCCGCCTTCACCGTCGACGACGCCGAGTCTGCGCCTGTGCTCGCTTGGCTGCCGCGGCCACTGAGCCCTCTCTCCATCACCCTTCTCGGAGCCTTCCCGCAGGTCGGCGCTCGGCTCGCCGGGCGGCCACGGCTGCGACGAGGTGGAGTTGGCAGAGGCGAGCGAGGGCGAGCCGGTCGTGCCGCTCGTCTTCTTGCCCGTCAAGGCGACGCGCGGGAAGGCTCCGAGAAGGCTCCCGGACTGGCTCCCGTCTCTCACTCGTCCTCCTGCGCCGTCAAGGCGACGCCGAAGACGCCGAAGACGCCCAAGCCCAAGCGGGACGCGCTCAGCAAGGCCATCGCCACCGTCCCGATGCTAACGCCGCCGCCGCGCGGCCAGCCGGCGGGCGGCCAGCCGGCGGGCGGGGTTGCGCGGAAGCAGAGCTGGCTGGAGGCGGCGGAGGCGGCGTCCGAGGTCGCGTTTGGCCCTCCCTCAGAGGAGGAGGAGGGCGGAGAGGAGGAGGGGGCGGAGCCGGCGCCGGTGAAGGCGGCGCCCGCAGCCGCGCTGCGGCCGGTGGCGGCGCAGCGGCTTGTGCTAAGCGACGAGAGCGACGAGGAGAGCGACGAGGGCGGCGGAGAGGGCGGCGGCGGAGGCGGCGGCGGCGGGGTGGCGAATGGCGGAGGCGGGGCGGGCGGCGGCAAGGAGGGCGGCGGCAAGGAGGGCGGCGGTGGGGAGGGCGGTGGCGAGGGGCGGCCGGCGGCGGGGGAGGGAGGCGAGGCTGCCCCCGCGTTGGCCTCTGCCGGGCATGGCGAG